GGCACCATACAACTGCACTTGATTCTAATATAGACCGCACAAGTGAGCAGTAAAGTTATCTGAGGCATAACGGGTCCCGGAACTCATCGGCAATTTTGAAAATAAAACCCAGTTGGCGATTGGCTCGGGAAATGATGTCGTTATAATGGATTTTGAAGGTGAACCCGCAGTCCAGAGTAACACCGAGATCCTTTATTTGTTCTACACGGGCAATGCAACGTCCAAAGAGCACATAGTCAAACATAATTAATTCGTTTTTACGGTGATAGGAGATGACGTTGCATTTTTCGATGCTCAGGCCCATCAAGTTTCTCGTGCACCAGTCAGCGAAAATACATAGCATACGCTGGAGATCCCAACAGTCCGAGAGGCTTTTGATAATTTTGTAGATTTTGGCGTCATCTGCGTAGAAAAGACGACATCCAGATGGTAACAACAGAGCGATGTCGTTTAAAAAGATCGAAAACAGCAGAGGTCCCAGGTTGCTGCCTTGCGGGACTCCCGAGTTGTTTGAGAAAACATTTGATTTCGTCGCGCCAATCTTGACTCGTACAGAGCAATTCACTAAGTACGATCTTAACCATTTCACAGCCGTAGACGAGACACCTAGTATCTCCAACTTAGCAAGCAGGATTTCACGATCCACCCTGTCAAAAGCGGCTTTTAAGTCCATGTATGCAGCATCAACTTGCCATCCCGCATCCAAGCTTCGCAGACAGTCAGAGGTAAACTGCACCAGGTTCGTGGAAACCGATCGCTTGGGGTAAAAACCATGTTGGTCCGTATCGATATAATTTTTACAGCACATAAACAGAGCATCATTTACAATAATCTCGAAAAGTTTAGAGCAGGCTCACATGGAGGAAATCCCATGATAATTAGCGACATTCCGTTTGTCTCCTTTTTTGTGAATTGGAAATAGATAGGAAAGCTTCCAGCGGGAGGGGAATTCACTTTGCTGTGCCGAGAAATTAAAAAGTCGCGCAAGTGGAAGACAGAGGTTGACTGCACATCGTTTTAAAACTGACGAGGGAATTCCGTCAGGACCAGCGGCGAATGAGTTCTTCATTTTGCATGTTGCGGCTTTCACCATGTCTTGAGTGATGTGAGGTATGTCAAAACTAAAAACATCACGTGGCATCCCGGAGGTTGCGACCAACACCTATGTCGGTGAAGCGGAAAAATCGTGGAAGACTTGTTTGAATTGACGAGCAAACAAGCTGCATTTATCACTTTCGCTGCAGGCCGTATCATCTCCGAGGAACATGAAACAAGGCAGCCCGGATTCTTTTCGTTTTGAATTTACAAACGACCAAAAACCTTTCGGGTTCGACCGAAGGTTCGCTTCCGTGCGTCTCATGTGCCGATTATAGAGGAAGTGGTTGTAGTTTCGATAGCGACGACTTGCGAAATTAAACTGTTGCTTGTAGAACGGTGAGCGAGAGCTGCAGTACCTTCGGAGTGCGGCGGAGCGCTGACGTTTTAGTTTACGTAGGCGTGGGTTTGACCATGGAGGCTTCTGCGGGGGACGTCTTGCTGGGACAGTGCGGAAAATAACTTCTTCCAGCGCAGAGCTGAAACAATCCACAGCATCATTGACACTAGCGGCCGTTTCGATACAGTGCCAATCTATTTCCGCAAGCGCATTGTTCAATGCAGTGTAGTCGGCCCGGCGAAAGTCCAGAAAGCAGCACTCGGAAAACGGTATATATTCAATTGGAGTGGATAAACTTAGTGACACGACGAGAGCGGGATGGTCGGCATCTAGGTCGATCAGTGGCTCGACCGGTAGAGAAACAGAAGTGTCTGGTAATGCTGAGTCATTTGCCAGAACAAGATCTAACAAACGTCCATTACGGTTGGAAAAAATGTTCGCCTGAGTGAGCCCATGAATGTTAAATCCGTCCAGAAGTTCACAGCAAGCAACCGGCATATGCGATAGCAGAGGATCAATGAATGGTGTGCCACTGTCAGAGAAACGCCACTGTTAACCAGCTTGGTTGTAGTCGCCAAATAGGAGAGCGGGAGAATTGGGGCACAATTGAGACGAAATCGAGCCAAACGAATTAACGTGCTCATGGATGATCGTGCAGTCGTTTGTTCGGTCGGGGGGTAGGTAGACTGCGCCTACACTGAGCTTGGTTCTTGGCAGATCCACAGCAATCCAGATTTGCTCTAGCAGACTTGAAATGGGCGAGGTACTTAAATAGCTGGTCAGTTTCGTTGTGACGGCGATCAGAACCCCACCACCACGCAATTTTTGGCTGTTTAGGGGAGAGCGGTCGGTTCTGAAGACGGAATAATGCGATCCAAACAGCTGCGGTGAGTAAATCCGGTCATCCAGCCACGTTTCTGTCAGAACAATCAAATCGTACTCAACCTTCGAGACAGCCAGGAAAAACGGGTCGATTTTAGTCCGCAGCCCACGCACATTTTGGTAGTAAATCCGGTGACCACTCAAGATGCCACTACGCGAACTGGAAGTTGAAGGGAAATCAGGTACCGAAAGTTCGAAATCGCAATTATACTCGCCTGGAGTTGCAGGCCGAAAGCCCCCGATACCACCACCGACCACAGGACCGGCACGATGACGATGGCGGATGTCAGCAGCAAGCGCGACTGGGTCGAGGGGCTCGAGAGCTTCCTTAGTGCCTGTTTTAGGGTGTCCCGGATCCGATGAAGTTGTGGCGATGGTGTCAACAGCTGGAGAAACGTAGCACGCTAGTTTTTTGCCGAATCAATAAACTCGCGAAACTGTAATCCGACAGGCCAGGAATCCGGATCGAGTGCAGCATCTTTCAAACAAGGATCCAAACCGATCTTGAATGACACAAATGTCATACTGGATACGACTTTTCCTCTGGGAACCAAACGCACCACATCGACAGGTTCAGTTAAGCTCAAGCAGCGTGACACAATACTCTGCACGTCGTTATCGGTGATGAGCGGGTTCAGGCGAGAAAGGTAAAGCCAGAATTTCTCCGGAGGTGCACAAGGAGCAATAGAGGGAACGGAAAGACCACTCAAGTCAATTGTTTCCGTTCCGTTCCGTTTCCGGCACGTCAATATCAGGCCGGTCTTCACGACGGCGTTTTGCACCCGGTTTGGGCCAAACTGGTGTAGCACTCAGTGACGGGTTGCGTTGTGGCTTAGCAGAGAAATTGTCGACTTTTTTACTTAGCTCAGCCACGGCATCATGCAGTAGCTGAACCTGATCTGGCAACGAAGCAAGCGAGGGGGGTTGCATTTGTTGTTGCTGCTGATCGTCGATGAAACAGCGGATAGAGCGGCCCTGTAGAACCCCACGACAGGAATTGCAAACGAAGAGTATCTTTCCAGCTGATAATGGTTCCTTCAGATTGCGGAAATTAATACCGCAACACTGCTGGCTGATGTGGTAGAATGTTTCGCAAAAACCACAGCGCAGCGGCTCGAGCTCGTTGATAACGAGCTGACATTCTCCGCATTGTTTTTGGTCCATTCTGCTTTGACGGAGCTGCACAGTGAAAAGATGGAGACGGGTCGGGATTCGATGATGCGAGGATGACGTGTTGATTACAGCAAACGACAGCACGGAATTTATCGATATTCCACACGTTTCGGAGAGATTGTCGAAAATAGTATTGTTTACGCACAATTTTGAACACTAAAAACCAGATTTACACACACAAATTCTATGGTAAAACACGAACGTAAACAAGGCGAACAAGGCGAACGTCAGCAAACGTCATATTATGAAGACGGTCTATTGAGGTAAAGGTGTTTCCAAGTGATATGCTAGTTGACCGTCATTTTTGAGAGGTGACGGTTATGTAAGGGTGACCGTCAAGGTACAATAACCGTTATGATAATGCACAGCACTACTTCGAACGAAAAGCCAACCAGTATAAGCCGTGAAGCATGTTAGCAGGTGAGCGGAGAAGAGATGACTGGTCGGGTGACGAAGCAGGTGGCCCCAACGATCATCAATGCATGTACACAAAACTAAATTTGTAAATAGTGAAAAAGTATTCAATTATTTTTTATTAAGTAAAAGAAAGTGTCTTAAACCCTAGGTATGGCCCACTCTATTTCCCAGAAAAGAGCATGCCGGTAAGTAATGATCAAGAAGTTGCTTTGTATAAATGTGGTATATTACTGATTCTATAGAGTAGGGAATCATCCGATAACAAACACTATTAGTTTTCCATCAATTGATACCACTTTTTTTTTTGAAAACAATCCGTTCAAAAATAAATATCTTGCTTAAGATAGGCCCATTAGATAAAATCCAGGCACAATTTTTAAAGACCGATCATATATCCTACCTTGACATCTGCATGAAAACAAGTACGTTTGTGAATTGTGCTTTTCGCAAAAACAAACAAAACTGTACGTGTAACATAAAATCTGAGTTTATATTTAGATTCAACGAGACAAAATTTATTAAACTTATTGCCAAACAAACTGCGGTTTTGACAACCAGTGAAATAAATAATGAAGGCCCCCCCTGGCTATAATTGCGTGACGCAATTTTCAAAAGGGGTGGGAGAAGGGGGTTAGGTGATTTATAAGAACGGTTGTCATTTTCCAATAGACAATTGAAAATTTCGACGGCTTTCTTCTGTTCCTTGACCATTACGTCCCAATGCGATAAATTGCTTGGCCGCACTTTCTTTTTAGTTACGCCTCTTCTGACTGATCTAAGGGAGACCCCGGTGGCAGCCATTAACGGAATGGTTTCACCCGGTCATATAATTTCATCGTATCATACTTCTACCGTCAACACTTTTTCGCTCATACCAAGCACATCAATGTGCCTTCCCATATTATCAAACTATTTCCCCTTTAGAGTCCACCTGGCACATATGCCATAAAGGGATCTTCTTCACTTCCAAGCTATCTTGTTTCCATTTAACACTCAACCTCATCTAGCAATCTAGAACTATGAATACGAACGTGTACGAGGTAGGTTCCCATATATGTACGTCTTGAAGCAAACGACCATTCGACACACTTACCATCGGCAGGACGAAGCCATCGTTGTAGTCCACATGCTCTCCGATCAGGTTGACACGGCCCGGTGCACAGGCGGCAATGTCGGGCTCCGAGCCGAATGTGTTCCGGAATGTTTCAATTGATGTTTTAACAACCTCATCAAAACTAATTACTTTGGAGACCATTTTCGTGTCGTCTTTATTTCTGCAATTACACAAATTTCAAAACGGGAAAATGAGCGAGTCAGTCGGTGTGGGTTTTAAACAGAAACCCGTGGTAAGTTGAGGGGGGGCGATGATTCGTGTAGAAATGAGACGGTGGTTTTCATGATGTGGTAAGGGGATTGATATGGATTATTTGAGAACTCTTTTTCGGTTTTACAGGAAATGCATTTGTGTCTTTTTTTAAACGAAGATTTTCTCATGAGAATATAATTTATTATATGATGGTCATATTTCATGCACTAAAGATCGAATAAGCTATCAAACTTCCTAAACATTAGTAGATAGAGAAGAACAGCTCATAATGCATGCGGTAGGGTAAAATGCCCACTTGTAAAAAACAACGATAACTTTCCTCAGATGCTTTTTCTGGGTACCGGCAATAGAAAAAATAGTTACATTTTTTGAGAGTGTAGTTTTTTTTTAAATAGTTTCAGATGTTCATTACAACATTGCTAATGGCACCAAACCGATTGGACACACATTTTTCGAGTAACAGTTTTCTGAAATAAGCTTAACATCTGTCTAAAGGCCCTTTTTAAAATTAAGGCTCTATTTAAAATGGTGATATGAAGATGCAAAATGGTATTTTTGGTCATAAGGAACGATTCCGGAAATTTTCAATCAAATTAAAATATATGAAAATTAATGGATTTGTGACTTCGTCTGGAATCGCTCTTATTATCTAATTTCATTATACACTAAAGTCTCATGATCGGTTATTTTCAAACCACTATCCGTAGCGGTACAAATAGAATCAAAATTGGAGTAAACATGATAAATTAAAGTAATACTGTGCCTGGAAATACGCGAATATTCATCTACCGTTTGTTTTATATTGAAAAAATCTGCTAAACGCTTCAAGTGATTCGGATTATAGTTATCACACCAATTAATATTAAAATCACCAGCCAATATATTTAATTTACTAGAATCAACCAATATCTCGAGCCAGTTCTCTTAAACTTCAAGAAAACACTGGTCACTGGAACTGGGAGAATGATACAATTCCCCATAATTACCCATCTTCGCACAACTGTAATGCCCAAGAACCAGTTACCATCAATAACTTCGTTGGTACGAAGGTTGAATTCTTTTCTTTGACATAAATAGCAACATTGCCAGTCTGTCTAGAATGCTATAAACAAGCAGCAACATTATATCCCGGAATATGAACAGATTCTTTGCTCGACTGTGGAGCTGTTCAGTCCGTATTTTCGCTCGACTTCTCGATTCGATTTTGTTTCGTTTTGTGCTGTCGCGTTACGCCGTGGACGTGTCGCCACCTTCTCGCGTTCTGGCAAGTTTACTTGAACTTGCAAACACGAAACAAATGGTGCGTAAAAGTGCCAATGAGTCAGCAGCGGGCCCTTCAAAGAAGGTCCTAATCAAGCCGGAAAACGGGTACTGCAAGCCAACCAGTATGCAGTACTCCCGGAAGAAAATGGCGTGTGACGTCGTTCCCGTTGCAAGAAGAGAGCGGATTCCCCCGCTTTTCACGGAGTGAAGGATGTTGTCAAGCTGGGTGCCGAACTGGCAAAACACAAGCTGCTGCCTCGCTTCAAGCTTTGCAGCATCGGTTCCAAAATCATGTGCTCCAGCCTGGAGGAGTACAAACCAATAGGATGTTTCCTGAAGGACATCAACGTGGACTTCTTCACGCATGATCTGCCATCGAGCAAGCCACTGAAGGTGGTTTTGTGTGGATTACCGTCGTTCGAAGCGACTGCGGTGAAATCCAAGCTGGAGCGGTTTGGGCTCAAGCCTGAGGCAGTGTACCCGATGAACCGGCGTCCCAACCACAACACCAGCTACCGTGATCAGTTGTTCCTGGTGCATTTCACAAAGGGATCTACCAGTCTTGCGGCTCTGAGATCCAAAATCCGGGACCTGTTTCAGCTCATCATCAGTTGGGAGCATTACAAACCCCAACATCGTGATGTAACGCAGTGTATAAACTGCCTCTCAAATGGACATGGCAACAAAAACTGCCACATGAAGACAAACTGCGGCAAGTGTGCTGGAACTCACTCAACTGCGTCCTGTGAGCAAGTCGATGACATCGAGCCAACGTGTGTCAACTGCGGTGGAAACCACCAAGCCTCCAATCGCGGATGCCCCAAGCGAGTGGAGTGCATTAATATCCATCGGAAGGCCAAATCATCGTTCACCTCCTGTACTCACGGAAGTCCAGTACCCAGCTCTCCAGCCCCGTCGACATGTTCCGAACCTAGCCCCGCTTCCGCTCAACAACCAACAAGCCAATCCTGCGAGTATCCAAATAACTCCCAACAGTCGGACAGTTTAGCATCGTCTAGCTGCCGCTGCGGCCCCGCCAATTCCAGGTTCATCCACCGCCCCTGGTTTATCATACGCTGGTGCTGTCTCAGGTGAGCCTGTCGACGATTTTCCGTTCACCTCGAAGGAACTTGAGACGCTCATGGCCGAGGTCATCATCATCATGCGCACCTGCAAGACTCGATCTGAACAGCTACACGCTGCCCTGCATCTTGCCACTAAGTATGGACCGTGAAGCCATCAAGATCATTAATTGGAATGCTTGCTCCTTAAAGAGCAAAATTATTATTATTATTAAATCTTTATTTTAGAGATTTTTAGCCTGAGGCTAGTTCATCTCTTTAAAAAGAGCAAAAACATCGAGTTTGTTGACTTTCTCAACGAACGGCACATCGACATAGTCGTCATCACCGAGACTCACTTGAAGCCCGAGCTAAACGTCTTCCTTCCCGACTTTCGGCTCGTAAGGCTTGACCGCACCAGCTCCGGGGGAGGGGGAGTGGCCATCGCTGCCAGCTACTACCAATCTTCCAGCTGAAAATTATCGAAGCCATCGGAGTTGAGGTGAGCACATTGCTTGGTCCAATCACCATCATCGCGGTCTACTGCCCCATGCAAACCAACATTAGGGACGGCTCGGCCGCAGACCTCCGAAGAGACATCACCAAGCTAACACGACGGCGGCAAAATTTCGTCATCGCTGGCGACCTGAACGTCAAGCATCAAGCCTGGGGCAATAGTCGGCGAAACCCGAACGGCACAATATTATACAATGATCTGCAGGAAGCCCACTACAATATTCTGTGTCCGGACACTCCCACCCGGTTGAGTCGATCCGGAGCTCATGCCACCATCGACATCTTCATCAGCAACATTGGTGATAACATCTCTCAACCTATCGCCTACCAGGAACTGAGCTCGGACCACTATCCGGTGGTGGCCGAATAAGGTTCCTCGGCAAATAGGTTTCAAGTTTCCCGGTGAAATTACCATCGTGTCAACTGGCAGCAGTATCAGCGTTGTGTGGACACAGCAATTGACTAAGACGTCATAACGGAGTCGTTCGAAGAAGTCGATCAGTGTCTGCAAACCATCGAGGAGGCGATATCCCGTGCCAAGGAGCAACACGTACCAGTATCCAGACAGGTGAGTCATACTCTGAACCTTAACAACCCAACCGAAGATCTTATCAGGCTCCGTAACAGCATTCGTAGGCAGTACCAGCGTTCTGGGCTGCCCCACTTGAAGACCAATGTCAAAAAGGCTAACCAAAATTATCCAGGCCAGGATGGTGGAACTAAAAAATAACGATTTTGCCAACAAGATTCGCTCTCTCTCAGATTCGAATAAGTCGAGACCGATCCCTCCGCTTTCCTCTGTTGACCCCAGTTGAAAAGGCCAATGCTCTTGGCCAACATTTTGTGATTTCACATAATCTTGGCCAAACCATGGTGAGCCCCCATGGGCCTGCCGTACTGGAGGCAATGTCTAGATTCGCTGACACCCCCGTAGTAGTGCATGATGATAGTAGAATATCGGCTGATGAGGTGATAGCAGCTATCAGAAGCACTAAAAACATGAAGGCCACGGGTATGGATGGTGTAGTCAACCTCGAGTTGAAAAAACTTGGGTATTGACTTCTTCAACCATCTTACAATTATCTTCAACAAATGTTTGGAGCTTGGATACTTCCCTGCATGCTGGAAGTTAGCCAAAGTGATTCCAATATACAAGCTGGGCAAAGATCCTACCAGTGCCAAAAGCTATCGCCCCATCAGCCTCTTGTCCTCCATCTCGAAGCTATTAAAAAAGTTGATACTCAGCCGTCTGCTGGTGTTTTCAAATGACAATAACATCTTTCTCAAAGAGCAATTCGGGTTTAGGAAAGGCCAGTCTACCATCCACCAACTCACACGGGTTGCTAACATCATCAAGCGGAATAAGTCCGTTTCCAATACATCTGCCATGGCATTGTTGGACGTCGAGAAGGCGTTCGACAATGTCTGGCATGATGGTCTAGTGTACAAGCTGCATCGATACAACTTGTCGGGCAGATCATTCCAGATCTTCTTAAACAATGTCCTCTCTGATACGTTCAACGTTGATGCAGGGGTCCCTCAGGGTAGCCTGCTTGGGCCTATCCCATTCATCATCTTCACGTAAGACGTTTCTCCCCTGCCAGGTGGTGGTATCGTGTCAATGTTCGCAGATGACACCTCCATCATATATAAGGGTCGAGTGATCCGTGCTCTGGCGAGTAAACTACAATCAGGCCTGGATGTTCTGTCCGACTATTTCAAGAGCTGGAAGATTTGTATCAATGCAGCTAAAACACAAACCATTTTGTTACCACACTCGAATTCACCTCGGCTTGTTCCGTCTGCTAACGTCAAGGTCCATGTTGATAGCACTCCTATTGAATGGTCGAGTGAAGTAGTCTACCTTGGTCCCATCCTCAATAGCAAATTGCTATTCCGATCCCATGTGGACAAGACATCCACCAAGTGTAACATCTTGATCAGGTCGCTCTACCCTCTGATAAACAGGAAGTCCACCCTGTCCCTCAAAAACAAGCTTGCTGTCCACAAGCAGATCATTCTGCCGGCTATTGAGTATGGTATGCCAATCTGGGAGAGTTGTGCTAAGTGCCACCACCTAAAGGTTCAGAGGATCCAAAACAAAATC